AACGCCGATCCCGCGGCAGCTGTTTCCTGTCACGTGGCTCCCAGGGAGCAGCTTAGATGTTAAAAGGAATCTTCGTCTAGTGACCCAGTGAGTCCATTACACAGGCTCTGCTTTACCTCATAAAATCAGACACGAGTTTTGAGGAGAAGTGTGCAGAACGATGAACAAAATGCATATTTGTGTAAATCCCCAGGACTGTCTCTCTCAATACCCTGGGCTCTTTAAAGAGTCAGGTCAAATCCCCCAGAAATCAAGTGAGTCCGGTTATGTTTTCTTTTACTTCCCCGGGCTCCCTGCTGCGTCGCTTGCTTGCTGGCGGCATGCTAAGACTGTCCTTTGTAAAAAGCAGCCTGCTCAGCTATAATTACTAATTTGATGTCACAGTGGAATCGCCGCGCAGCTGTGGAAAGATCGACCACCAGGGAGATTCGCGTTTCTCTGTCTCATTTAGAGGCAGCTAAACTGCTAGAGCCATGAATGGAAGATGCCCTTCCATTAAAAAGGAAAGAATTAAAGAATAAAACAAGTCATAGCAGCTGTCAGAATTTGACAACGGTTTAAAAATGGAAAAAAAAGCACTGTTCTGCTTTTTAAAAAAAAATTCAAGACATCTGTACATGCGTGTTCTGGTACTTGTTGCCATGAAAGTGATGCCACTATTTTTGCGACATAACTTCTTTATTATGCTAATGCAAATCACACTAATTACGTGTCAAGCTGAAATCGAAGGGGACGGGACTCGTGTGCACCTATATAAGCACTAAATATTTGAAATGACGGTTTCAAAACTTGTCATGAACAAGTTGAAAGTATGGGAAATTAAAACAGTTGTAATGACTCAGATGAAAGGAAGACTCACAATTGAGATGACTAATTAAGCCATGTCAGTGGAGATTCTTTATGAAAATTATCCTTTGCACCATGACAATCATTCCTTAGAGAACACAGTTGCACAGGGATAGCAATGAAAAGATTCTTGGCAGATCGTGGGATTTCATTCATAAAAGGCGAAAACGTAGAAAATAAGTATTTTTAGCCTTAAGAGTGATTGTTTTGATAACATTTATGGTTTTATTTGTGAAGACAAAGAATAGCATGCTTTCTTGGAAGAGGAAAAATGTTAACTGCTCATGGAAAGAAAACCTGAAAATTGACAGAAAGAGAAAGGCAAAGATATTTTTTGGAACTTAAAAAAACCCAATGTTTTTAAGAGTTCAGCACCATTATATACATTTCATTTATTTTTACGTATTACAGTTTAGTGACTGTTACCTCAGTTGTGGCCAGATTACAAACAACCTGCCTATCAGAGCCATGATGCCCTCCTACCCACACAGGCAGGCAGAGTCTCCATCGATTACACATTCTAATGACTTTTACTTCCTCATCTATAAGGTATTTCCTCTTGGCCCTGCCCCGCGAGCGCCTGTAAACTAGAAGGGCAGGTGGGTGGCCTTTTGGAGCTGCTCCTTCTGGAAGCAGAGCTATCACGAACCCCGAGCTCCGAAGGAAGCAGAGAGCACTGGATTCTTCCTCAGGACAATGGCGTAGACGACTTTAATGTTTACCCAGCGTGAGATACAGTGACGTCGACTGTAGTTACAAACATGCCTAGTTACAAACATGCCGAAAGCCTCAAATGGAGGAAATGTGAATTGGTTGTTTTGCCAACACAGTAGGAAAAGAAACGATTTATTTCACGACTTTTGAAGATTTTTAAATTAAGACTCAAAATGAACGGCTCTCATACCATATTTAACTCCAAAACATTGTTTTTGTCAGTGCAGGGAATGCTTCATGATTCACGGTATTGCTATGAATTTTTGGTAATAGGCCCTTTAAAAAAAGGAGACTGAGAAGTGCCAGTCATTCAGAGGGTAACAGCACCGTGGTCAGAAACGTGAGCCCTGGGCTGGAAGCCTGACTCCACCACGTCCTAAGTGGGGGGTTCTGGACAGGTCACCGAACCTGTCTGTGAAGTAACCTCATTTACTCAAAAGAAGTAATAATGGCTCCAACCTAGTAAGATGGTTGGAAGGATGACATGACTTGATTCACGTAAAATGTAAAACACTGGCATGTAGTATACACTCAACTAATGTCAGGTATTACTACTGACCTTTCTAAATCCCAAGACATCACAGTTAACAGTAAAAAAAAAAATAACCCCCAGATGAAGGTAAGGTTTCACCTCTGCCACTGACTATGTGGAAGAGCCCGGGAACTGAAGCTCACGGGTCTCCCATCTGTCGCGATGTGAGGTGGGGAAGGTCCTTCCATTGCTGACTTCTCTAAGCCCACCTCAGGGGAGATATTTTGAGGAACAATTCAGTACAGGATAAAAGCATCCTCAGTAGCCTCCTCAGAAAAGTGGGTTTCTATTAGACAAATTCCGTAATTTCATTCTTTGCACAGAAACCTATACCCACAAAGGGCTCAGCACTTTCGGTGAGGCGGGCAGTGGAAATGGGGTGGATGCCATGGGTTTCTGGAAAGTGTGTGGTCCTACAGGCAGAGCAGTGGAGGGAGGGATAGGCAACTGGATGGTCTGCTTCTGATGAAATAGTAAGCCTCAAGGATGTCAAATATTTGTGGCTTTCCTTCATACATGGACTCACTTTATGATTTTGGCTTCAGCAGCAACCACCCCATGGCCTCTAACTGTCTTTCTTGGCACTGTTTATTGGCAGAGTGGACCATGCCCCGGGTGATCAAACCTGAAATAATGAAAATGAACAGAGTGGGGGGGAAAAGGGTGGGGTCTGCCAGCAATAGTCTCGAGGGACTTGAGAACAAAGTAAACACAGAGCCACCAGTGTGGAGTGGTGAATGTCATCACCGCCATAGTTCTCACTCAGGGGCTGGCTTCTTGTTATGATGCCGAAAAGTCTGTGTGGCTCTTCAGACAATCCAGGTATTTTCTCCTAGGAGAAAATCCCAATCCTACTAAACCTCTGAGTTTCTCATGGACTAAAACCTAAATACCCGCTAGGGTCTTGGGCACTTGGACGAAACGTTTAGTCATAGCAACATGGAAGCCAGCAGTCCATTGTTCCTGCTTTTGGCCAAAGCTGGTGCCTTCAGGGTGATTTATGTGGAGATCAGAAGTGGAAAAATATATTCACTAGTGCATAGTAAAAATACAAACGGTCAGAGAAGAATCTGCCATTTCCTTTTCCATTCCTCACTTTATCACCCACTGTGACCCGGCTTCTGCCATGGACAAGGTCACCAGAGAGTTCCCTGGTGGTAAGTCCAATGGATAATTCTCAGTCCTCATCCTACCTGGCCTTGCAAAAGTATCTGATTCTGGGACAGTTCTCTTTCTCTGGTTTCTAGGATACAACTAGAGGGCAAGTCTCCCAAGACCAGGGGCATTATTCAAGGCAGTATTTCTCACAATGCTTGGAGAAACGCTTGCTCACAAAAGATACTCCGTAAATGTCTGAACAGACCCAAACTTTCCTGGCTCGTCTGCTCATCTCCTGTCTCTTTGGCTGATCCTCTGCAGGACTCTCTCCTTTCACCCACTCCTTAAATGATGAAGTTCTTCTGGGCTGTTTCTAGACATACTTCTATTCCATACACTCATCCTGGGTGGCCTCAGCTACTTCCCTGTCTTGGCTGATCACCCTTCCTGTGAGGTCTTCCAAGCCTTTTTTTACTGACCATCTCGGTTCTAGTGCCTCCTTCCACTCTGCTCTCTCTTTCAGTGGGACCAACACACTCCCACTGTCCAAACCAGACCCATGGGAGTCCTTCTGAACCCTACCCTCCCTCCACACACACTCCCTGGCACTGTTCGCCTCCCACATCACATCTCCGGCTTCTGTGGCTTCTTCCTAAATCTCCCTATAACCTATCCTCTTCCACCATCCCAGTTCAGGCCACCACTCTATCCGACTTATTCCAACAGCCTTTCCAAGTGGTGCAGCTTATGTCACCCTCCAGCCAAAGCGCCAGGTGCCCCCCTCTGTCCCTCTACCCCCACCGAGTCAGGTGCTACATGCTCCCTATTAAACTGCTTATCACATGATAACTGTCATTTCCTATTTTAATGTCTGTGTTGCCTGCTAGATATGTCTGTGTGGTTCCTTATTTGAGCCCCTGAAGCTAGGATGGTAGCCATGAAAAAATTCACAAATACTTCCGAATGAGTAAAGAAAAGTAGATTCCCGAAATGTAAAATTCAAATCAAGACAGGATGAGAACATTCTAAAATCGTAATTTAAAGTCCTGAGCCCCGTTTTCAACGGTTTGGTCAAAAAACTTCACCAGGTGACGAGGAGGGGGAGTAACTGAGAGTATCGAGGTACCTTTCGTATAAGCAAATGCCGATTTGGGTCAGTTTCAGTCGCCACACAGAAAGCTACTTCCCAAACTCTTAATCAAACTGATTCAAGTTGAATCTGTCTATACTCTTGCATAATAAACCAAACGTAGTTCAAATATTACCTGCTGTCCAGTGACTCAGGAAAATATAAGATATAATCTCCACATCCCTAATTCTTTAAGTCAAAAGCACTCTAATCCTATCTTAGAGCTGGAAAGGAGTCTGAAGCTCATCCGAGCCAATCTTTTCCAGGTGAAACTGAAGCTCAACACGCTCATTTTACAGGTGACCAACCAGGGCTCAGAGAGGCGTGGAAAGGACTGGAGTCCCAGCCGCCAGTTAGGGAAAGAGCGGGGTTAGGACCCTGGTTACTGGGCTGTAGCTGCGTCTGGATCCTAAGTAACCACACAGATGGCTGTGCTTTCAGGACCATGTTGCATATGAACCGTTTCTTTCAACCACACTTAAAACTAACAGAACTACTATTGCCCAACAAAGAGTGTGGGGCAGCTAATCTGAGGAAGAGAGCGGAGGCAGGAGACTTCTCAGGTCAGTGACGTGCTTCTCACTGGCGTGGCAGAGGGGAGACGGAAGAATCGCAGTGGAAGGCAGGAGAGAAAGAGTGGACATAAGGAGGGGGCCGCGGTGGGAATGTCAGGGTACTCACCTTTTCCTTGTCGCTGGCTTCTCTAGCCACGGTAGAGCCCTGAAACACAAAGACCGTCATGAAAACACGCACATGGGAGGCATCGGGCTTCACACGTGTAAGCTATGCAAGTGTGCCCGGCCAGAGCGCAGAAATAAAGGAGCACCCACTTCGCTCTGGAGCCGTGCCCTGAGTGAGCTCTGTCCCCTCCCTGGCCACAACTCTGCCCCGTGGGCACTCCCCGCTCTGCAGACATTCCTGCCTGCTCGTCTCCAACCCTCTCCCTAGCTTGTCACCTGAGCTGGATTCTCCCTGGTTCTTGTCCCCCTGCTGGAGATCAGAAAACCTGACAATCACTTGAACAGTAACTTTTTTTTTTTAATGATTTTTTTTTTTTTAAAGAGAGAGAACATGAATGGGGCGGGGGAAGGGCAGAGGGAGACGGAGAGAGAGAGAGAGAATCTTAAGCAGACTCCATGCCCAGCACAGAGCCTGAAGCAGGGGCTTGATCTCACGACCCTGAGATCACCACCTGAGCTGAAATCAAGAGTCAGATGCTTAACCGACTGAGCCACCCAGGCGCCCTTTGAATAACTTATTAACACCATGCTCTGCTTCTTGCCTCGATTGCCAGAAATGGTTGGTCTTATATCTTCAAAGGTGATGTGGGCCACTCGTGGCTGCAGTAGCCACTGGGGCATTAAATGCCTCCTTCCCCACATTACGTCTTCCAGATGTGGGCCCGTCCTAGCCCTCTGCCTGCCCTTCTCCCCTGTTTCAGAGTTACTGATGGACATGTTGTCCTCACTACTCTGAGTAAGACCCTGTGGGTCCTTCCTGTCCCCCTTCACTCTGGGAATCCCTTCATACATATTTACTTGCACCCCCTTTGTGCCAGGTCCTTAGGCTGAGCACAAAGGTATCAAGGGGAAGAAAAGACAGTTCTTGATCTCTGCAATTCTACTCTGCTGCACTGGTTGGCAAAGCCACGCCTCAGAGCTCTGGGGTTGTCCGAGAAGACCCAAGCCCACCCAGATGCCAACGGGGGCATGCGGTAGAGCTCAAGAAGAGAAACTTCCCCTTGTTTGTGGAAGATGCTAATGCAAAAGAAAAGTTGGCTTGCAGATGGCCAGTGAATTCCTAGCGATGTCAATACAACAAGAACAATTTCTTCTTCGTGCTCCTCAGGGACCGCTGCAGTATCTCACACAGCAATGCCTGGCATTCCCCGAATAAATGGTTGGAGAAGGATCACGACCACGTCACCGCTCTCCCTTCCCCCGTGGCGCTGGCCACCCAGGCAAGCCCAGGTCAGCAGTGACGCGCTTCTCCGACCACCTCTCCTATCGGCGTTTATTGCCCTGGAAGCAGCCGTGCATTAGTGGATTGTGGAGAGTCCCCCTCCCCCGCCCTGGATCAAAGCTCCATCCCCCTGGTGGTCAGCATTCCCAGGTCGGCGGACGTCAGAGAAGCTGCTATTAGCCCAGGGGAAATGCTCCGGGTTTCTGGGGGGAGCATCGGAGGAGCACAAAGCTGACCCATGAAACGACGAGGGACAATGTGAATTGTTCATGAAGGAAAACGTGTGGTCCCGCTGCACAAACCCAGCAGCTGCCACTTGTAATGGTCCGTTTTCCTGGTTGGTTTTTTTTTTTTTTAGGGATTCTTGAATACAGACCACAAAGAGCTTCCTTTACACACTGATTTCTAACAAAGAATGTTCCCAAATTAAAAAAAAAAAAAAAAAAAGACGGGATATTTGCAATATTTGAGCACTGTCTATGCTCCTGGTCAGAGGAGGAAACTTATTCCTCTTTCTATCTTTAGCCAAGTTTCTGGTCTCTGTGTGTGTGTGTGTGTGTGTGTGTGTGTGTTTTCCCTCCTGCAGTAAAATTTACCCTGCTTCTGATTCTTGGTGAGCTTCATCTCTATGTAAATGCAGATCATTAGCCTGGGGGAGGGGGGGAACTCACCCAAATTTAAATGAATTCAAAATAAAAACTCAAACAGAAGTAGAAAATAAGGTTAGTAAGTCAAGGCCAAGAGTTTGAGCCATGAAATGACGCCAGATGTCCAGGTTCCATCACAACCGAAAGTACTGGCAAGAAGAGAATTTATTCTACAAGCTAAAAAAGGGAGATGAAATTAAGGAAGTCTGAGGCAAATTAAAACTATAATATCCAGTCTAGAAGTATAATTTACATCAAGATATGTTTACTAGATGCTTCCTTGAACGATTGCCTATCTTAGGGGAATAGAAAAATAAAAAGGACCAAAAATTTGCCTTTAAGGCACTTACTAGTAGGATGGATGAGTCACGACCACAATTCACTGGCCAATTCCCATATGCTACACATTATGCCGGACGTGACAGATGTGTGTGTGTGTGTGTGCGTGCACGCGCGCATGTGTAATCGAATCCTCATAACAACCCAGCAAAGGTAGGTATAGTTATCACTGTTTTACAGATGAAGAAACGGAGGTTCAATAAAAGTTCAGCAACCCACCCACAGCTAACAAATGATAAAACCAGGACAGGAGGCTTCAGAGGTCACTCTGGCTTATTCTATAGGGGAGTCAGACCCGTGAACAAAGTCCCGTAATGCTCCACAGCATCCATCCTCTAGGCAGCACTGCAAAGGTTGCTGAGTGAGAGAGATGATCCAAGAGCCCTGGAGAGTGGCTGGGATTTCCACCAGGGTGATTCCAGGCGACAAAATTGCCTCAACTTGGAGGCAGAACAGAGCAAGGCTGTATTTGGGAAGCTTATACAGTTTATCTGAACTCCAGAGGGGAGAAGATAAGCCTAAACCATCTTCCCTCCCTTAGACTAGCATTTCTCAAAGTGTGCTCAGCATCCTGGGGTCCCAAAACCCTTGCAGGGCTCTGCAAAGTCAAAACCATCTTTCTAATAATATTGAGACATGATCGGCCTTTTTCACTGTCTTGATATTTGCATGGATGTTACAAAAACAATCGTGGGCAAAACTGTTGGCAGCTTAGCACAAATCCAGTGGCACCGAATGCTACTAATAGAGTTTGTCATAAAATATATACAAAATATACATTATATATATGTCTAAAAATGTCCTTGATGAAGCAATGAAATTAGTAAATCTTGACCACGGAGTACACATTTCTTCCATATTCTTTGTGGGAATATGTATAAAACACTTCTGTTTGTGAAGAAGGAATGTTTTAAGAACAGTCATTTTTGTGATGATTTGAGTTACGAGCTCAACTAGCCACTTTTTTCATTAAAACATTTTTACCTGAAAGAACAACTGGCAATCTCTTTACTCAGATCTGGGCGTTTGGTAGTTATTTGCTCAAAGAATAAGGCTGTGGGGCTCAGCTGCGTGCTGGGGAGCTGTGTGCTGGCGTTTCACCAAAAACAATGCACAAGGCTTGTTGCCAATGGTAAAATTTGAGCTTTCAAGTGGAAATCAGAGTTTTAAAAAACTTGTATCCACCATCGTGAGCATGACAGCTTCTCAATACTTAAAGACTTCTCTTATGAGACTTGTGATATTAATGTGACTTCTCGATATTGCATAATGAGTCAATATTTGGAAGACCCCATAACTCAGTGACTGCATCTGTTTCAAATGATCAAAGCATGCAAACAGACCAATGGGTTTTAATGAAATAAATACAGAAAGTTCACTGATGTGATTTCTGATCCCACATCGTAACTAAGCTTTGAGAAATTACCTTTTGTCAGGTTTTGGTAGAATATCAAAGAACAGTATCCACAAACTTCTGAAAAAGTTATTAAAACACCCACCCTCCCATTTTCCAACTATGTATCTGTGTTAAGGTCTGACTTTCTTCATACACATCAATCAAGTAACATCGCAACAGACAGCACAACCAGATAGGACATTCCAACTATCTCATATTAAGTCAGATATTAGGGAGATTTGCAAAAATGTAAAGGAAAAAAAAAAAAAGGTCACCTGTCTCAATTTTTTGATTTGCAAGATACAGCTATTTTTCATAAAAATATGCTAACATGTAATGGTTTTTTAAATTATAAATAAAGTAAGCATTTAAAATTTTTTATTTTAATTTCTAACGTTGTAAATAGCAGTATATACAACCCAAAAGCTTTTGACAGTCCTCTTTTTAAAAAATTTTAATTTCATTATAATCAGCATACAATGTCATATTAGTTTCAGGTGTACAATATAATGATTCAACAATTCTATACATTACTTAGTGCTCATCATAAGTGTACTCCTAATCCCCATCACCTATTTCAGCCATCCCCCTCCCTCCTCTCCTCTGATAACCGTCAGTTTGTCTCTATACTTAAGAGTCTGGGGTTTTTTTGGTCTCTTTTTAAATTTGTTCATTTGTTTTTTAAATTCCACATGAGTGAAATGATATGGTATTTGTCTTTCTCTGACTGACTTACTTCACCTAGCTACCCTCTAAATCCATCCATGGCAAGATTCCGTTCCTTTTAATGGCTGCGTAATATTCCATTGTATATGTATACCACATCTTCTTTACCCATTCATCTATTGATGGACACTTGGGTTGCTTCCATAATTTGGCTATTGTAAATAACGCTGCAATAAACATAGGGGTCCATATGTCTTTTCAAATTAGTGTCTTTGTATTCTTTGGGTAAATACCCAGTAGTGGGATTACTAGATCATATGGCAATTCTATTTTTAATTTTTTGAGGAACTTCCATACTGTTTTCCACAGTGGCTGTACCGGGGGTCCTCTTTTAAGAGTGAAGGAGTCTGAGATCAAAAAATTTGAGATCTACTGGCAAAGACCAAAGGGTGGCAATCTTTTTCTGAATGGGTCAGCTGGTAGATGTTTTAGGTTTTGTGGTTCCGAACAGTCTCTGTGGTACTATTCAACTCTGCCATTATAGTACAAAAGCAACCACACGTGATGCAGAAACACTGGCCACGGCAGTGTTCCAATAAAACTTTATTTACAAAAATGGCCAAGCTGGATTTGCCATGCAGGCAGGTCACAAATTGCCAGCTCCCAACTTGGACATCCTCCCCCAAAGTCAGTGATCCAAAGAGTCAGCTCACCTCACTCCCCTCAGAATTCCCGTGGTGTGCCTCTCACCCAGGGTCTTTGTAATAGCCGGTCTCGGGGCCTGTGTCTTCTGCCAGGAAGGCCCTTCCCTCAGCTCATGCCCTCTTCCTTTGGGTCTGCTGCAATGTCATCTTTCCAGTGAAAGCTTCCCCGACACCCTGTCTAAGGGTTGTCCCCCATTCTTCCCCATCTTCACTTCTATCCATAGCACTTACCACTTCTTACTATGCTATAGGATTTACTCACTACTTTTCCTTATTGTCTCTCTGCACCCACCACAATGTCAGTTCCTTGAGCGCAGGTCTGGTCCATTTTGTTCATCGCACTATTCCCAGCACCAAAACACTGCCTGGTACGTAGCTGGTGTTCAATAAATAGCTCCTTGAAAATCAGACATGATACCTCCTAACATGTGCAAAAGTCTGGTAAAGCCAGCAAGCGATCCTTGCTTCACTTGCAGGTGAGCACTGCTAGTTTAGTTGCCTGGTGGCTTTAAGCTCTGAGCACCTCCTAAGTGTTTAGCATGATCAATTACAACATTTGTTTAATTACTTAATAAACATGAACAAAAATCTCACCTTTAAGTCGTATTTCCTATATACAGATAAACGGTGGCTGAACACATTTCTTGTAACAATCACGTAGATTTCAACTCCATCAACATTAAGCCGGTACATGCCCAAGAACTGGGGAAGAAGGGTGATCCCATGACATTCTACTATATACTGCACAGGAGAGAGGAAAAGGAACACATTATGTAATCAAAATGTGCTCATTCAGATGTAAAATATAACTCTTCTGCCTTTGTGTTTAGACAACGTGAAACCCTCCAACTACTAAGGTCCTATTTACAGAAAATGACCGTGTTTATACTGCCTGACCAGGATCTGAGATCACCACGTATACATAGATAAGAAAACTCAACTTATTCTCCAAAGAGATATTTTTCCCTAACATCCCAAACTAATTTGTAAAGTCAAAAGTTGGATATAACAGTGTTAGACAAGACGGCAAGTGATTGGTCCATTTTCTAATTCCTCTAAAGGGAAATCACACCCTACCGAGGGCCTCCCCCTTCCTTCCCAGAAGCCTGGGTGATGACTCTGTGAGGTTGAGGGAGAGTCACTTGGCCACTAAGATCAGCTCTTTTAACAGTGTTATGAAAGTATAGCACTGAAGCTGTGATTAAAGAGGAAACTGTGGAGAGAGCTGAGTGTTAGAAGCTGGGACAGTCATCTCTAGTCCTAGCTTTTGTTTCTCACCCATCACACTAATGCGCCGAGCTACTGCCTACCAGAGCAGCAGCGTGAAGGGAAGGTGCCACGCTACCCCAGAGTACTTGCTCCTGCTCTCCGGACAGACGGAGGTGCTCTCCGGACAGACGGAGGTACTCTGGCCTCCATGTTGGATTTTATCAAGGCCACTGGACAAGTTCCTTTGACACCATTTTTTTAAAAAAGATTTTATTTATTTATTTGAGAGAGAGAGAATGAGATAGAGAGAGCATGAGAGGGGGGAGGGTCAGAGGGAGAAGCAGACTCCCCGCTGAGC